GGTGAGAAAACTGATAATTTGGGACTATTGAATTTTTTAACTTGGTGGTATCATTGTTTGTTAAAATAGATGATTAAGAAAGAGTGTTTTTGTTATTTTTTTTAGTTATTTTTAATTGATTATAATCAAAATTATCTTCAATTGATTTAGATAAGTTATACTAGCAACTTTGGAACTATTTTTTACATGAAGGGAACCATCCCTGAAAATGTCTACCTGCTCTACTCATTTCATTATAAAGAATATCAGTTAGAGAAAACTCATGGATTGATTTTACATAATATAAGGTATATAAGAGTACTTGTCTCATATATAGTTAACCTCACCCCCCTATTTTTTTTTTTTTTTTTTTTTTTTTTTGTCTTTGGTACATTCCAGCAGTTGTAATTTCCCTGATTTAACTAAAAGAATATTCTTATGGTAGATTTATCCTATGCTAAGGCCATGTAAATAAAATGTATAAAAATATCCTTTTTTATTACTGTCACTCGCAGTTTCGATATATTAATCTGTAAAGGTGTTTTTTTTTTTTTGATAAAGACCACTAATCAGTACCATATAAAGTCCTTTTTTTTATTTTTTTATTATTTTTTAATCCGATTTTGGAGAAATGGAGAAGTGGATGGTAATATCAATACAAAATTATTCTAGTTTATAGAGTCCAAGCATGAATACAATATGGCAGTTCAAGGGAATTCGAGACTTACCAAAAAAAGTTGAATTATTCTATACCACACAGGGGGGGGGTGCAGGGGGGAGATTTATTGGGTGGGATAATTTTCAAGGAGAATCATATGTTTATATAAGGTTAACCATTTTAATCATCCTCATTCAGTAGCCTTGACTTTCTATGTAAAGGTATAAAATATATTTAGTTATCCCTACCAGGCTATTTCTCTTTAACAGTTTTCAATGGGAAACGAGTGTAAGTTGTGTTTAGTCATTTGCATCAATTATCTTTGCTCAGAGTGCATAAAAATCATCACACGCCTAGGTGTGGTTGGATGGTTTGTATATTTATGGTAACAAGCCTATGGTAATGTCTAAATGTAATATTTTTTATTGGAAATGCCTGAAAAGGGTGCGATAGCTGTTTCAACTCTAGACGAAGACTTTTCCTACCAGGTCAAAGAGGAGAGTGAGGTGGCAGTCGGGCTGTGGTTCACATGGCCACCTGCCAAGGAACCGTCGTGCGCCACCTGGCCTCCAGTTACTCGAACACACTATTAAGTACAAGTGGAATGACTTGTCGTCCAGCAGAAAGGTCTTTATTAAGGTGGGTTAGTTCTCTGATTGTGACTTTGTATATGGTTGATGTTTCTGTTTGATTCTATTGCTTAATATATATATATATATATATAAATAATATATATATATTTATATATATATATATATATATATAATATAATATATATATATATATATATATATATTATATATATATAGTAGTATAATATATATATATATGTATGTTAAGTATTAGGTATGTACTTATATATGTGTATAATAAATATATACACACACACATATATATATATACTATATATATTAATATATATATATATATATATATATATATTAATATAATATATTAATATATATATATATAATTAATTAATAATTATTATATTAATTATTAATTATTTAATTATTAATTATTATTATTATTATTATATTATTATATTATTATTATTATTATTTATATTATATATTATTTATTATTATTATATTATTATTATTTATATTTATTTTTTTTATTTTTATTATTTTATATATTATTATTATATTAATTATATAATTTATTATTATTTTTTTTTTTTTTTTTTTTTTTTTATACATGCACACATACATGTACCACAGTACATGCACACATATGCACACATACATACACATATGCACACATACATACATGCACACATACATGCACACATACATGCACATAACATGCATACATGCACATATACATGCACACATACATGCACACATACATGCACACATACATGCACACATACATGCAACATACATGCATGCATACATACTACATACTGCAACATACATCACACATACATGCACACATACATGCACCACATACATACATATACATATATAATACATACATACATACATACATACATCATACATACATAATACATATACATACATACATACATACATACATACATACATACATACCATAGATGAGATTCATCCCATACATACTAAACTTAGGTTAAATATTAAATTGTCCTTTAATTTCAGAAATATATCATCTTATATTTATTGTAACTCAAAATTGTGTTTTGTTGCAGGAAAACACGATGCAACTTGTCACTGACGGAACCCTTGACCCTTCTGACAGAGCAATTATATGTTAAAAAAAGTAAGTAGCAGTATATATTTAGGGAAGTGTGAGGTCTTGAGAATTATCTTTCTGACAGATCACGAGTGAAAGATGTTCATGGAGGAAGTGATTTTGAC